CTTGGCCAATAAAGAATTCTATTTTATTCCTTATTCTATTCTATTCTATTCCTATTCTATTCTAAATTTCTCTTCTAATTTCTCTTCTATCCTATTATTTCTATTCTATTCTGCATTCTATTCTATTCTGTTTCTTTTTATGTGCACTGAGAGCATTTGCACCAAAGACAAATTCCTTGTGTGTCCAATCACACTTGGCCAATAAAGAATTCTATTTTATTCCTTATTCTATTCTATTCTTTCTGTTCTATTCTATTCTATTCTATTCTATTTCATTTTCTATTCTATTCTATTCTATTCTATTCTATTTTCTATTCTATTCTTATTGTATTCTATATTCTATTCTATTCTTATTGTATTCTATTCTATTCCCATTTCCTGTCCCTCCCTCCTTCTTTATTTTTTATTCTACTTTATTTATGATGATACGATATACATCATATTATTATGAATAGCTGCCCATCTTTCAGCCAACTGTGATCCATTGCTAGAAATTAAGATTTTCCCTAAACGAAGCATAAAGAGAAAAGGAAGCGTTGTCCGTGCCTCGGTCCCCAACCCTTTTCTCACCATGGACCAGTTACCATAAAGACAGTTTTTTTTCCGTGGACTGGGCCCCCCCCCGTCGGGGGGGGGGGCGAGGGATGATTTTCTACTCTACCTATATCCCGTATATGAGCAGATGCAACCTTGCTGGGCTTCCATAGCTCGGTTCCTTGGTACCAGTACCACAGTCCTGGAATTCATAGACAGATAACAGATAATCAGAGTTGGAAGGGGCCTTTGTAGGTCATCTAGTCCAACCCCCTGCCCAAGTGAGAGACCCTACACCATTTCTGACCGAGGGCAGTCAGTCTCTTCTTCAAAGTCTCAAGTGATGGCAACTCCCACAACTTCTGAGGGCAACTTCTGTTCCATGGGTTGATGGTTCTCCCTGTCAGAAAATTTCTCCTTATTTCCAGGTTGAATATCTTCATGTTTCCATCCATTATTCCTTGTCTGGCCTTTGGGGGCTTTGGAGAATAGCTTTACACCTTCCTCCTCTCTGGGGCAGCCCCTCAAATATTGAAAGACGGCTATCCTGTCTCCCCTGGTCCTTCTCTTCCCTGGACTAGCCAAGCCCAGTTCCTGCAACCGTTCTTCATATGCCTTAGTCTCCAATCCCCTTATCATCCTGGTTGCTCTTCTCTGCACTTTTTCTAGAGTCTCAGCATCCCGTTCAGCCGCTCCTTAAGCTATTTCTTTTTTTTTCCGCCCAACGATCAGCTGTTCTGACAATCAGCTGTTCCATGATCCCCCTCACTGTCTTACTGCTTCCCCCCGGGAGGCAAAAAACCCCGGGCGGTTGGCAAAAAAAAGACATGCTCACCCAGTCACATGACCACGCCCACCTAGCCACGCCCACAGGACCGGTAGTAAAAATATTTACATCCCACCCCTAGCGCTTGGCCTGTAAGCCCCCAGAATAAGAGGAGGAGGTTTAGAGGAGGAACTGAGTGGCTGGAAGAGGAAAAAAATAATGTTCCTTTCTGATTCTTGTTCTCTCTGTTGCAGGAGACCTCCAACAACACCTCCAAGCCATGTTTATGCTACTTCGACCTGAGGATTATATCCGACTGGTAGGTCTCTTTCAAACAACCCTTCTGCGTCCCCTCCAATCCCAGTTCCCCAAAACCTCTTTTTCATGTTTTCATGTCATCTACTTTCACTTTACTTAATGTCTTTGCACTTCGTACAACGAAATCAAGCACTATCTTCGGTGCACGTATCATGACCATGAGGGTCCTCGGGGTCGATCCCACCGCCGGTTTTAAGAGGCTACTATGGAATACTGGGTGTATATTTTCCCTAGCAGTTGGGGCAACTTCATTTGCACCGTGACTGGGCGGATGACCTTTGCTATGGGGAAGGGTCCCATGAACTTTGGCCCCAACTCCTTACTAGGGAGAGTTAACTTCAAGTATTTGAATAGAATAGAGAATAGAGAAAGAAGGAATGAGAATGGAATGGAATGGAATAGCATAGCATAGCACAGCATAGCATAGCATAGCATAGCATAGCATAGAGAAAGAAGGAATGAGAATGGAATGGAACGGAACGGAACAGAACAGAACAGAATAGAATAGAATAGAGAAAGAACGAATGAGAATGGAATGGAATGGAATGGAATGGAATGGAATAGAATAGAATAGAATAGAATAGAATAGAATAGAATAGAATAGAATAGAATGGTTTAGAATTAAGAATAGGAATAGGAATAGGATAATAGGAATAGGATAATAGAATAGAAAGGAATGGAATGGAATGGAATGGAATGGAATGGAATAGAATAGAATTAAGAATAGGAATAGGATAATAG